TCAAAATTCTGTCCCTCTAGTTTCCCCCCCAATAACCTGTTCACAGTCAATGCCTCAAGTTTCCTTTAATAGTATCTTAACTTCCACTACCGTCGCTCATCCTATTCCAACACAATCCGCTATCCCTTCAAATACTTCTAGTTTTTCCGCCCCTAATTACAATATATCATTTCCTAACCAAACCACGTCCACAATAAATAATACCACCCTTTCCAACAGCACTGGCATTAGCCTCGATTCTGCAAAGCTTCCCCCCTATGATGGTCAACTCATTCCAGTTCACCCTGAGGAGTTCATTGAACAGGCCGAACAATATTTTCTCACCCAGCCCCCAGTCCCCGATAATGTCAAAATTAATTATATAAAGTCTAAATTCGTCGAAGGTGCCCGTCTCTGGTATACCACTCTACTTCCCCCCCCAACAAATTATCAAGATTTCTTAGTATTGTTCCGTAATCAGTTCTGGTCACCCAATCAACAGCGCGCGATCCGCAACGAACTCTATCGCCCCTACTTCCACAGAGACTCAATATCTCTGCAGAAGCACGCGATGGATTGGATCAGCAAGGCCCGGTTCTTGCAACCACCAATCGATCAGGCCGAGATGGTTGATCAGATCACTTCCCACTTCACCTTTAACATTTCCATTGCCCTCAGAGGTCTCCGTATCACCACCACTAATGAACTCGTTCAACAACTCTCCCACATTCAGCAAGCTCATTCCCCTCCAAATAATCAAAATAGTCAAAATGCACCCTCTTATCAAAATCAAAATAGTCAAAATGCACCCTCTTATCAAAATCAAAACCGAAATTCATTTAACAATTCTTCTGGCCCCAATCAACAACACAGATATTCTCCTCGTCAAAATAACTATCAACGCCCTCAATATAATTCTCAAAATCAATCCGCCCCAACTCCCCCTACCACTACCCCTCCTCCGGAAAACTAGGTCTGACCATGCCCGCGAGGATGTGCACTGTGTCCTCTTCTAATATCAATCCTCATAATATATCAATACTCACCCACCCACTAGCTTCTCTCCCCGATTTCGAACAAACACCTCCTCCAAATTACCGCCCCGAAATTCCCATCACTCTCTTTAATAAATCTCACAATGCTCTCTTAGATTCTGGCGCAACTGTCTCTGCTATCTCTGAAGACCTTTTTAAAATATTAAATCAAAATTCTGACCCAAACGCAATTCCCCTCTTTCCCCTCACAGGCATTCTCTTGACCACGGCACTCAGTCACAAAACAATTAAAGTAAAATCTCAAATCTATTTAAATTTTTATGTTCAAAATTATAAAACACACGGTATATTTCTAGTTGTTCCCCAATTGTCTACACCCTTAATTCTAGGTACCGACTGGTTACTTGAAAACGGGATGACCATAGACTACAATAGCAAGGAAATCTCCCTCCCCTCTATCAAAGATAACATCCCCTTTAAATTAATTCAAGATAATGATCCAAATAGCTTAGTTAATTCGTTAAAAAATATTATTGTCACTAATGATCCTTTCACCATGTACGAAGGTCCTTCTCACTTAATAAATCAAACCTATCCATTCGAAACAGAAAAAAATATTGCCCTTAATGACATTCCCCTTAATGATTCTCAACACAAATTAATGATATCCCTCCTTCAAAAATATGATCACATTTTCAAAGACAAACCCGGCCTTCACACTTTCTTCTCTTATAAATTTAATATTAAACCTCATGACCCCTATAAAATTAAACCGTACCCTGTACCCTTCTCTCGTCGTCCCGCCGTACAAAAAGAAATTGACAAGATGATTAAGTGGGGGGTGATCGAAAGATCAGATTCCCCGTACAATAATCCCCTTGTTACTGTAATAAAAGCTGATGGCACACTACGTCTGTGCTTGGACGCTCGTAAATTAAATACTATTATTCTCCCCACTCGAGACGCTTCCCCCCCAATCGATGATATCCTAGCAAAATTTAATAATAAATCCTTTTTCTCTTCTCTTGATTTTTCCTCTGGCTATTGGCAAATCCCACTCGACCCCTCGGTTCGTCAGTACACCAGTTTCCTCTACGACGGAAGGTCCTACCAATTTTGTGTAGTGCCTTTTGGGTTAAATATTTCCAATGCAGCCTTTGGGAAAGGATTAGAAGCCGCCCTAAATAATTACACTAGCCCCTGTCCCTCCCCTAATGACATTCATACCTACGTCGACGACATATTAGTATCCTCCCCTTCTTTCGAAACACACCTTGAGACTCTAGAGTGGATTTTTCACAAAATCTCTCTAGCAGGCCTCACTCTAAAATTTAAAAAATGTCACTTCAATAAAAAACAAATTAAATTTCTCGGTCACTTTATATCCCCTACCGGTATGATCATGGACCCCGACAAAGTTAACGCCCTTCAAAATTTTCCCGAACCTCGTAATAAAAAAGATCTCCAATCATTTTTCGGCTTCTGTAACTTCTATCGTAAATTCTCACAAAATCATTCTTCTCTCTTACACCCCCTTTCTCATCTCATTTGTAAAGACACCCCCTGGATATTCACCGAACAAGATAAAATAGCTTTCCAAAAAATAAAAACTGCTTTCTCCCTTCAAATATCATTAACTCACCCCGATTTTAATATTCCCTTCTGTATCCAAACCGATGCCTCGTACATAGGACTTGGAGCAGAACTTTTCCAAATTAACGCTGCGGGCCAACGCGATACCCTGTCGTTCGCAAGTAGGTCACTGTGTGGTGCCGAAAGGAACTACACAGTGACTGAACTAGAGCTGCTAGGTATTCTGTTTGCCTGTCAGAAATTCAAAATTTATATTCTCGGCCACCCAATTAATTTATATACTGACCATAAAGCTTTAACATTTCTCTTCTCTTGCAAATTAAAAAACTCCCGTCTCACCCGTTGGACTCTTGCACTCCAAGAGTTTGATCTCAAAATTATTCACTGTCCTGGGAAAGACAATCCCATAGATACCCTGTCAAGACACCCCCTTGGTCGCGACGATCAACCACCCAAAGACTCCCCCAGTATTCTACATTATACTCTCCCCCCACCTATTCCTCCCGACATTATTTCAATATTTAACAATATCTCATCTGAACAACAAAAAGACCCCCGCTTAAAAAATATCATTATTAAATTAAAATCAAATCACCCACCAGTCTGGAAGCAATATTATACTTTGAAAAAAGACACTTTATTTATTCGAACAACCAAAGCTAACACCCATTGGTCCCTTTATATTCCTGACCACTTGGTCAAACAAGTTGTATTATTATTCCATTATTATTATGCCCACACTGGTCCCCTTAAAACCACTCATACTCCCTAACCCAACTTGATTATTCTTTTATGGTTGCAAATTTTATTATTATATATTCGATTATTATTATGATGTCCCTAATTCAAATGTTAAATTCCCTCTAATTGCTAGTCTATGGTCATTCCCAAAAAATTCTGCCCTCTTACTCTACAACAAATGGTTCTCAGGTATTCTTGCAGACACCTTCAACAATTTGTTGGGGGGGTTCTGTAACGTCACAGCATTTTTTGCATTCATATTATTACAATAACAAACATACCTGTACCCATATTGCCACTAATGAGCGTACCTTATTGATAAATTATTACGATTATCGCGCGCTATTGCAGAAATGACCGCAGTATTATGTAATTATTGTTCCCCGGCCCCCACAAACCCGCAGTGCACGGTGTCCTCATGTCGCCACACACGGCCGCCGTTGCTGTCGGCGCTTTTGTCGCGTCCGACGGCACCGCACCGGCAGAACAGTCCTGAACGACCCAAACATATTGTACATTCCCACACAATGACGACACTGATCTGCCCCACCAACGAAAAGAAAAGCTCCGCCGCCGGCAACAAGCCACCGTCGTCGCCGGGTTTCCGTGTCAGCAAACTCACTCTTTTTACGGCCTTTCACCTGCCTGGACGCCTGGTTAACGTCTCCACACCTGCCCGGTCGACTTCATACACTCGTCTTTGTAAAACGACCTGCAGACCACGAGGCAACCGAGTTGATCGGCAAACAACCCACTCCCGAGAATCGTTTTCAACTACCGTCAACATACTGGGACACCTGCGATCGCTCACCATGATGGGCTGAGTGAACCACGAGGGCCCGGGCGGCGGCCACAACTGCTCCAGCTTACAACATCGACCACGCAGCTCGTCACATCAAAATATCAAATGTCGTAATATGTTTTTATTTCCCCTGTCCCCCCTTTCCCGGCACGATTTCCCGGTAACCCTGCGAGGACACACCATGAGTAATATGGTGTGTCGCCTCCGGCGGGCCGGGAAAGCATGCGACCAAAGTTAAATTATATTGTTTGCATATGCCATGTGCCACCAAATTATATTGTTTGCATTTGCCGTGCGCCAAAATTACTAGATCATTGTTATATTATTCTTAATCTTTATAATGTTTAAATTTCAATTTCCCCTTGTAATGCCAATTTAATATATCCACGTGATTACCCTAAAACTTTTCTATTATTCTATATTATTTTCCCCTTCAATAAATCCTCGGCATTCACTTGCCGTTGCGTGTTCAAAGCCTGTGAGCTCCACCGACTTGGCCCTTGGGTCATCACGCGGTGCGGCTCACAGGTCGCGACAAAAGTGTTCCCCTTTTGTCGTGGGTGGTTTATGGAGCCCTAGAAAGCTCCGTATTCTCTCAACTCATTTTTCAAAAAAATGTCACTTATCACACTTGTGCGCTACGAGATCGATTTCATGTACTATAAATACAATTTAGTTACTTGGTCTGGTAAATTAAGGACATTGAAAAGATTATACTAATTAAATAACATAATTAATTATCAATCTTCCATAAAATTATAAAAATGGTAAATAACTTGTTAATTTAACAATTTATTTTATACAATTAAAATGAAATAAAAAATAAATCATTTCTATATTTTCTATATTTATATTTTTATTTAGCTATAACATTTTATCACAAAAAAAGTTTAAAAAGATTTCTTTCTTGCTTTTTTCTCTGCAAAAGTTTTGATAACTGATTCAAAATTTAATGATGATGTAACATCACTTTCAATAGTTAACAAAGACAAACCGTCCAAACGTTCTTGTGTCATACAAGATCTGAGTCGTGTTTTAATTCGTTTTAAAGTAGAAAAAGATCTCTCACTGGAACAATGAGTGCATGGCATTGTCAAGTATATTTGCAATAATATTTCAATATTAGGAAATGTTTGATGTATATCCATGTTACGTAAATATTTCAATTGGCTTTGAGGGTCTACTATTTTACTTATGGATTCTGGAAAAACTATTTCATTCAGTTCTCGAAATTGTATAAGCTCATCTACTAGTTCATAGTCCAAATCATCTGAATATGTTTGCAGTATTAATTTAACCGAGTTAATAATCTCTGGTCGTGTCATATTTTTATATAAGAAACCAAATTTTTGTTCCAACAGTTTATATGCATGATTACGTTTGACTAGTTCAGAAATTAATTTATCACAAAGAACATATAATGTGTTAACAATATAATCTTGTTTTTTTTAGACAAATTAACACCTGGGGGTTGGCTTATTTGCAATATCGACTGTTTGCAGGCTAATTGACGTAAGCGCCATAAACCAAATTGTTCAGGAGATCCTAAAAACCATTTAAGAGAGATTGCATTGTTCTACATTTATAGACTATCGTTTTTTTGTTGTAACCATACCAAATATTTGTTCTTGTATAATAATAATACTATTTTTTTTTTTAAATTTAAATATAAGTTTTGTCACTTACGACCTATTTTAAAACATTAAAAAAAAAGCACTTACGCCAGACTAATAATTTTCGATTTTTTTTTTAATAATTAGTTCATAGTAAAATTATTACGCCATGTAACAATATTTTCGAGCAATGCTAAGCAAATAATTGTTGTTTCAAGATAAGACTTAATTCAAAAAGTGGAAATACCTGTTTTTAATAAAAATAAAAACTATAACATTACCTGTATTACGTGAAAATATATAATTTGAACTGCATAATTAGTTTTATTATTATTTTTATTTTTAGTCTACTTGGACTAGGTGTCTAGGCAATATGTAGTATATTATTATGAAATTATTCTTTGAATAAAAAAAAATAACAATATTGTATTGAAAACATAATAGTCTTTAATTAAATAGTAGAGATACCTCTGCATTTATAATAATAAAATAAAATAAAATCACCTGTAAATAAAAACTTAATAGTAATAATATTTTTATATTATATATTATTATATTGTATTCAATATTCAGTCTTCTTGACTAGTTAATAAGTAGAAAATTATCCTTAAAATAATAATATTGTATGAATTACAAAATAACATAATAGTCTATAGTTAAAAACTAGAAACACCTCTGTGTTTAAAATAAAATAAAATAAAATAAATCAACTATATTATAAAAACTTAATAGTAATAATATTTTAATATTGCATATTATGTAGTTAATATCAGTCTTCTTGACTAGTAAATAAGTAAAAAATTATCCTTTAAGTAACAATAAAAAAATTAGACCAATTAAAATGATCTTGAAACATAATATTTATAATAATTACTAATAGTCATCAGAAACATTAGAATCTTCAATATCAGACTCGTCAAGACAGTCTCTAATTGTCTCACTAGAATTCATACCATAGTACTCTGCATGAAATCTGTTAATCAATAATATTATATTATTATACATTTGTTGAATCAGTGCAAAATAGAATTAAAAATGATCTTACTTTTCTGGGATAATACCATTCTTACACAAATCCGACAAATCTTTGAATTTAGCAGATGAAATGGGTAGTTTTCTTTCATAGGATTTGTTTGGCAATGTTGGTGTTTGTGCAAATCTCTCTCTTTTTTTGATGACATGTAGTTTTTTAGGACATTCTTCAAATTTATAAGATTCAAAAATCAATATATCTACATCTTCATCTTTTTTTATGAATAATAATGACCTCAATTTAGAGTTCATTACTCTTTCACCAGTTTCTGTTTTTAATATTTTAGGAAAAAAAGTAGAAAACTGTTTCCAATCCAAAAAATCTGTTGATTTTAATTCAATTACTTCTAAAGGTCTGGGATTTGTTCTAGCATTCTTTATTATTGGTGGCCATTCACTAGGTGCCCATACAGTAGTTTTTTTAATGAACCGTTCAATAGTAGCATGAATGCTATCTACTAGCATATAGGTATGCCCAGGTAGTAGAAATGTTAACTTAATTTCAGTTATACATTTTAATTCAAACTTAAGGACATACTTAATCATTGCAAACATTGCTTTATTCTTATTTTGGCCTGCACATGAGTCACAAAACAATGCAATAGATGTTATAGATTGGCGTTGGTCAACACTAATTAAATAATTATATGTTGTGATAACATAATTCGTGTGCACCTGGTCTGCAGTATACTTGTATTTTTAAATATAATTGAGTGTGATTCTCTTTCTAGTGTATTTTAAATAGTTCTTTACTTGCTGCTTGTGCTTTGGAAGTCGATGCAGCTCTCCTAGTGCAATTTTTGATCAGTTTTTTGTACTTGCTTTTTGGGTAACTTTCACGTGAGTACTGAATTTGTTTTTGTGTTATCACTGTGTTCTCGTTCCTAATCAATCCATCAGCTGTTTCCTGGAGACTTTAACGGTGGGTGACATTGTTTGCCACTTATCGATCTACTGTACCCTGCACTCATTCTACTGGAGACTTTAACGCTAGTACCTGTCTGTAACTACATACTGTGAGTACTCCAATACACTTCGTCATGTCGTCTAGTAAAACAACCGTTAATACTGCTCAAAAATCACCCAC